CAGAGGAACCTGATTGTTTCACAGATTATCTGTCTCATGTTCTACTGTCAGGATATAGTGGAAGTTTCAGCAGATATGAGAAAAAGTAAATTTTTCTAAAGGTTAGCTATTGTAACAAGGTTTAAAAACAACAACTTTATGTTCAATTTCCATATGCTATTTAGCATCAGCGCAGACAGCAGCAAGTTTCATTCATCATTGAAATAAATCAGATCCACATTTGTCAAAGTGTACAACAGTTTTATTGATCAATGATCAACTCAGGCTTACATGATTACAAGTATACAAGAAATCACCAAAACTGTGACCGGTGAAGACACTCTCTCTTTTCCCCACTACCTTTGTCACCAGTAAGTGGTGTGTTCAGATCTGCAGTGAAATGAAGGCAAAATACTAAACTGTGAAAACCTCACCAGCGTGTCTAAATTCGGTGTGGATTTACGTCTTATGACATTACAACTCCCCTCCCAGGCATTTTGTCTTTTTTAAGATTTCCAACCCAATATGGGTCCTGAAAACATACAGTAATTTAGGAAAGCAGGACTCAATGGCACTTACATCTGGGGGTTTTGAGGTTAATTACACACAATCAACTGCTTGCCTTCGTTGCAAGTCCGCCAAGAGTTACAGTCATAAAACAACAATCAGTATTCCTCTGTAGTTTTGTTCATTCTAACCAGTTGGGGTTAGAGGGGTGGAGGGAGAGACAGGAAGAGGGGACTCAGCATCCACGCATATGGCACTCATTGAAACACACACATATATACACAATAACAGACACGCACACAGACGGTGTTCCTCTCCCCCTATCCCCCTTTGCTATGTAGGCCAGTGTGAGTCATTGTCGCGGGCTCGCGTCCAGGCTCGGTGCTCTCTGTTATTTTACACAACTGTACAACCGTTGAGTGGCTCTGAATATCATGGCACTAATATAAAATTTAGTCACTCTACACATCTGTCGCTCTCTTTAAAGTCTTCACTTATTAAAAGGTGGTTTATAAAGGCTGGTTTCACAGAGCTCAACTGAGTGGCAACCACACCTAACAAGCAGGGAGGAAACAATGAGGAAAAATGCACTGTCCTTTCTTTGATCTTTTATGCTTCTCTTTCCTCTTTCATCCGTGTTTCTACGGTCGCTTTCACACCTGTAGTTTGGTTCATTTGGTCCAGTCCAAATTCAGTTGTGGTCTAGTTTGTGTTCACTCTGGCTGTCTATAAATGTGAAGGTAAATGGACTGAGGAGTTACTCATTAGCTTTCCATCCAAATGTATCGCAAAATTGAAATCTGTGTAAAAAAAAGAAGTGAGAAACGAAGCTCAAGCAGTGAAAAAATAATGCAGAAAAACAGGATGGAAATATTGCTTTTTGCTTTAGTTTTGCACAATAATGTGAGGAAGGTTCCATCAGATCTGTGAGGTGTGATCAAGGATGTATTATAGAGTAGGGATAAACCAATTTTTGGATCCAACATTCAGAATTTTGTTTTTCTGATACCAATTCCAATACTAGAACTTCAGGTCTGTAAAGTGAAGCCAACACAGAAGTGT